GAGAGAAGGGCGGGGAGAGGGCGAGAGAGAGAGTAGGTGTTGTGGGGGGAGAACTGAGAAGGGGGGTGAGAGTTATGAGAGAGGGACGAGTAGGAGATTGTAGAGAGTGGGGGGATAAGTGTAGAGGGGGAAGAGAGAGAGGGGGGGAGGAGTTTGATGGAGTGTGAGAATGAGAGATGTAGGTTTGTTGTGGAGGTTAGAGTAATGTGGGATGAGAGTGTGATGGGGAGTGGAGGGGAGGGGAAGAGTAGGTTTGGTTTGATTTGTGAGGTGATGTAGGGATTGAGAGGGATGAGAGAGAGAGTGTGGGAGGGTGTTTGGGAGAGTGGGAGAGGGGGAGGGGGGGGGGTTAGGGGATGTTTGAGAGGGTCGGGAGCGTTTAGTGTGAGAGAGAGAGAGAGAGTGTGAGAAGAATTTAGTGGGCTCTTTATTAAAAGATATATCTGAGCTGGAACAGACACACAAATAGTATAGCAAAAGAAAATCAAGCAAAGATAATTAATAAAAGAAAGAGGAGTTAGAGACTTTGATGGAGGAGGAGAGAAAGGAGAGTCTACAACAAAGTGTTATGTGAGAAGTATAAATGGGGAGATAGGCCAGTAAAATACCTAATGAGAGCCTTAAGGAAAAAGAAAAATAGGAATTATATTGATAAAATAAAAAGCCCTAAAAGGGAGAACTGTGTTCATTCAAATAAGGAGATTTGCAAAGGTGTTTATGGATTATTATAGAAAGTTGTATAACATCAACCCCTATGACGCAGTAAATAATATTGAAATTGAAAATAGGAAAATAAAAGAAAGATATATTTAAAAAAAAATGCGGGTTCTACCGAAACTAAAAGAAGATCAATTAAACTCCTAGAAGCAGAAATTACCAAGAAGAAAAAAAAAAGTAGCACTAAAAAGCACGGAGACGGGGAAAAGCCCAGGACCGAATAGCTACACGGCAAGGTTTATATATAAAAAATTTAGTGAACTATTGATTCCCAAACTGGAGAAATATATGAATGCCCTGGGAGGAGAGTATGGACATGAGTGAAGAGAATCTATACAGGCTCACGTGGTACTGTTTACAAAAAAGGAAGGAAGAGACGCTTCACAGTGTTTAGCTATAGGCAATTTGCATTGTTGAACTCAGACACCAAGCTATATGCAAAGGTCTTAGCGAATAGGCTGAAAGAGCTTATGCCTGAAATGGATACATGGAGGACCGCCGGTGGGCTTTGTCCCAGGAAGGGAGGGCAGGGACAATGGGATGAGATCCCTGATGCTTATTCAGAAAAGTAGAAAAGGGGAAGTACCGGCGGTGGTTCTTTCGATTGACGCCGAAAAGGCCTTTGATAGAGTAGACTGGGGCTTCATGATGGATACCTTAGAAGCCCTGGGAATCGGAGTTAGAATGAGGGAATGGATTAAAAAGTTGTACAGGGAGCCTCAGCAGTGGTAATAGTAAATGGGGAATCCTCCCAAAACCTCTGAGAATGAAAAAGGACTGGAATTTGTTTGAAAGGTTGTCGAATACACAGGGGGATGGGAAACACGGAACAGCTAAAATATAGAATTCTCACAGAATTAGACACAACCACTAAACCAATTGCACATAGTGAAATGGGAAAGAGATATGGGGGTGGTATTAGATGAAGAAAAACAGAAAAAAATAGATTAGTTCACGAAAATGTAAGCTTGAGGGAAATGTAGAAATAAATTATAAATGTTTGATAAGATGGCACATTACACCGAGTATAGAATTAAGATGAGTGGGGAGAAATCACTGTGGTGTTGGCGAGGGTGTGGGGAAGTGGGGACAGTGTATCATATTTGGTGGGAATGTCCAAAAATTAAATATATTCTGGAAAACAATAGTACATTTAATTGAGATCATAACTGAGATGAATATTGGGTTAGACCCAGATGATGTGTTTGCTGCATAGTTCAGAGCTATCAGTTAGTAAATACAAGAAATTAGGTTTAGGGTATTATATGAATGCTGCAAAAAGTCTGATCCCTAAGTATTGGAGGAAAACAGAAGTCCCGAAAGAAGAGGATTGGATAGAAAGAGTGAACTGGATTAGTAAGATGGAGAAGCTATATTATATGCAGGAAGATAAGATGGAGGTATACTATGCGAAGTGGGAAAACTCTGCAGTAAACGTGAAAAAGTGAAATGTAGGATGACAGAGTGGGTGGATGGGCTAAGATACTCTAGCTTTAGATAAGAGGTAGTAAAGAATGCAGAGTGGGGGCCCTGGGGAGGGGGGGGGGGGTAATGTTTTAAGAGGGAAAAAGAAAAGTAATAACAGAAATAATCATGTATATTTATTATGAATGAGATGAAAGTTTTGTTAGTTATGAAAAATCAATAAATATTTAAATTAAAATAAAGCATTGTTTATGGAAAATATATGGTACTGAAGTTTGTCACCATTCCACGGGAGCATGCAAATTTAAAGTTTGACATGGATATCTATTTACTCAGCAACAACTTCGTCATTTATATTTTACCAAAATTTGGTAATTTTATTGAATTTGTGTGTCCTAAAATTAACTTTAATGTAATTTTAACTGAAATTTTGCATTTTTCTAGAATTTTGCAGTAATATCATAACATAAAAAATTGGAACTACCACTATTTTATTTTCTAGGGTGTCTGCTTTCAGAAAATATAGCATTTTAGGGTTTTATGTAATCTTCAGGCCTAAAATGATTCCTTAAAGTGTGCAAAAAACGGCTCTGGCAGGGTTAAAGGAAATTTTTTTCTCTTTACTGTGCTTTTTTTCATGCTCACATTTAGCCACTCAGGTGTTACCTTTTAGTTCTTTTATATCTGTTGCTCAATGGGATACACTGGCTAATGCATTAAATAAAATGCTTTTTAAAGCACTCCCACTTTTCCTCTGGGTTTTCTGTTTCTAGAATATCTTCCTGTTCAATATCATGACATATGGAGCACAGTTTGATAAAGTGTGCTCTCTTGAAATTTAATGTACTTGCACTACCCTCTTGGCTGCTTTTCCTATGATTTGCAGTGAATGTAATTGCTCCTTGATCACTGTTTTCTAAGTCATCCCTTACGTCCTCATCTACTATCAGCTCTGTGTTGTTTGTGATTTGTAGGTTAAGCTGAGCCTTGTTTCTTAGTTGGGGAGTCCACCAATTGATACATAAAATTGTCCTGCAAGACATTTAGCAAATGGTGAGTCTTAGAGGAGTGAGCAGTCTGCCCAGGCGATATCTGGATGATTGACAGCTGGATTTTATTTGCTGTCAAACTGAAGAGATCGCCTCTTACTTCAACCAGGACATAAAGGGAGAGAAAAGCTCTTCAGTGGAGGCTCAAACAGTGCTTAATCCACCTAGATCTGAGAGGATATACTTGCTAGGTTCATATAGCGGTCTCTGTCCCCATTGGGAAAAATGTCCTCCCTTTCTGTCCTACTGTCTATCCAGGTATAACAGGGTTCTTCCAAGACAGAAAACATACCTCAAGACTTTCTGAAATGATAAAGAGGGACACAGTATGTAGTAGTATGGGCAAAGAAATGTCTCTGCCACAGCCTCAGTTACACGGACCACAGATATCTATTATGCAGAAAATGACTGGCTAAACCACACAAGTGCTTTTTTGGCCTCTATTTTTTCTTTGCAGTATAAGAAAGCCAAATGCAGGAATATTGATGATTGGATCAAACAGTTTAGTGCAACATAACAGTTTTGGGTGTAAAATACTACATTTTGTATAGAGATGTATACATTAGACCAAACAAACTCCGGAGGCTGCATGAGGTACATAGGGATTTGGTCCCAAAAGATGAACAGTCCCTCCAAATCAGGGACAATTGGGAACTACTGTATAAGAAAGAAAGAAGAGGTCTTATTAGGAAGAACAGACAGCAATTTAAATCTGACAGAAAACCTAACACTTCTCCAATCTAGTCAATTTGGCTTAAACATGGCTGATTAATAATAGCGGTTAATTATGAGTATGCAACAATCATGTTAAAGAGTAGAAACATTTTAAGTTCAAATATGAAAGCATTTGGTCTCCCTGGACCAAACATTATTTACCCAATGATTTTGATTGTACTTGGCTGGGCTTCTGATTCACCATATTTATATGACTATTTTTATAGTATTTTTCAGATACAGAAATATGGTGCCATAAGCCCTTGGTCACATCAAAGCCGATTTTGAAATCGTGCGACTTACAGTGAAGTCGCACGATTTCAAAAAATCGGGGTGACCTGCCGAGTTCAGCAATAAAGGTAGTGCATGCACTACTTTACAAAATGGGTGCGGCTCCGACTTTGCAAGTCGCTTGGCATGCAAATCGCATACCAAGTCGCACACGATGCGACCAGGGTGTGAAATGTGTCTTGTACAGTAGAAAGACAAAAAGCATAATATCACAAACTCATTGGATAGATTTTGCAGGATGCAATAAACAGCCCTATATGTGGTACATAGGTCTGCCAAACCAGACCTTCTGAGAAAACGGGAATAAAATGCTTTTGCATAGAAGTTGCATAGAAATGTCGACATGGGAAAGTTGTCACAGTGGGATTTAAATATAGTAATCAAAAGACAAAGTCCATACGAAATGAATTTACAAGTTACCGTATTTTTCGCTCCATAAGACGCACCTGACCATAAGACGCACCTAGGTTTTAGAGGCGAAAAACAAGAAAAAAAAATATTCTGAACCAATGGACTGCAGACACAGTACAGGGGATGACAAGAGACTGCCGACACAGTGCAGGGGATGACCAGAGAGACACAGTGCAGGGGATGACTGACGACACAGTGCAGGGGATGACCAGAGACTGCCGACACAGTGCAGGGGATGACCAGAGACTGCCGACACAGTGCAGGGGATGACCAGAGACTGCCGACACAGTGCAGGGGATGACCAGTGACCAGGATGACCAGAGACTGACACAGTGCAGGGGATGACAGAGACTGCAGACACAGTGCAGGGGATGACCAGAGACTGCAGACAGTGCAGGGGATGACCAGAGACTGCAGACAGTGCAGTGCAGGGGGGATGACCAGAGACTGCAGACAGTGCAGGGGATGACCAGAGACTGCAGACAGTGCCACACAGTGGGGATGACCAGAGACTGCAGACAGTGCAGGGGATGACCAGAGACTGCAGACAGTGCAGACTGCCGACACAGTGCAGGGGATGACACCAGAGACTGCCGACAACAGTGCAGGGGACTGCAGACAGTGCAGGGGATGACCAGAGACTGCAGACAGTGATGACCAGAGGGATGACCAGAGACTGCAGACAGTGCAGGGGATGACCAGAGACTGCAGACACAGTGCAGGGGATGACCAGAGACTGCAGACAGTGCAGGGGATGACCAGAGACTGCTGACCTTTGGGGAGGGAGGGGGAGCAGGGGTACCTGAATTTGACAGGTACCGCTGCAGACCACAGAGTTGTCATTCCCTCTTCTTCCCGGGCCGGCTTCTGTGGCAGCCGGGTGCCTGCGCATGCGCGTGAAGCGCTGCACTTTGTGAATGGCCCGGCGCCTTCTGGGACCTGTCATGTGTCCCAGAAGACACCGGATCATTCACAAAGCGCAGCACGTGCGCAGTGGGCACCCGGCTGTCACAGAAGCCAGCGCGGGAAGACTGTGCAGCGCTGGAGCGTGGAACAGGTAAGGCCCTGGTAGGAGAGAACAGCTGAGCGGCCGGCCCAATATTCTGACATGGTGGCGGCAGAAATACCGGACCGGCCTCTTTATATTCGCTCCATAAGACGCACTGACATTTCCCCCCTTTTTTGGAGCGAAAAATACGGTAATTTTGTAAAGTGCTGCGCTAATGGTTGGCACTCTATAAATCCTGTGTATTATTAACCAATTGCCTACTGGGCACTTATACCCCCTTCCTGCCCAGGCCAATTTTCATCTTTCAGTGCTGTCGCACTTTGAATAGCAATTGCGCAGTCATGCAACACTGTACCCATATGGAATTTTTATAATTTTTTTGAGACAGATATAGCTTTCTTTTGGTGGTATTTAATCACCTCTGGGTTTTTTATTTTTTGCTAAACAAACCAAAAACTGAAAAATTTGAAAAAAAAGTTTAGTTTTTTTTGTAAAATTTTGGAAATAAGTGATTTTTCTCCTTCACTGATATGTGCTAATGAGGCTGCACTGATGGGCACTGATAGGTGGCAATGGTAGGTGGCACTGATGGGCATTGACAGGCATCACTGATGAGCACTGAAAGGCAGCACTCATATGGCACTGATAGGCGGCACTGACTGGCACTTAGGCGGCACTGAAAGGCAGCTCAGATGAGCACTGATATGTGGCATTGATGTGCACTGGTAGGCACTGATATGTGGCACTGATGGGCACTGGCAGGTGGCACTGATGACCACTGACAGCTGGCATTGATGGACACTGACAGGTGGCACTGCTGGGGCTACACTGATCATCAGTGCCCTGATGATCAGTGTACATATCCCCTCCGAGCAATGCCGATTACCGGCTCTCCTCTCGAGCTGTCAGCGTGACAGCTCGTGAGGAGAGAAATGCTGATAACCGGCATTTCCCTATTTACATGAGATCAGCTGTGATTGGACACAGCTGATCACATGACCGAGCCAAAATCTTTGGCTCTTTCCGTTGATCAGTGATCCGCTGTGTCCGAGGGACACAGTGCACCACCGATCGCCGCGCTGTGCACCACCGATCGCCCGCGCTGCGCGCTCCCGGAGCTGCGCATGCGCTGTTAGAATGGGAAGACATCATATGACGTCTCCCAGAATGAGAGAACCACCTTGCGCCCGTCATTTCCTTATATGGCAGGCGGAAGGTGGTTAATAAGTATAATACCCGCTTCCCAGATTGATAATGGTGCTGTCCAAAGGTGTCTCAGTTATCCTCCATCCAGTGTAGAGACACCCTAAAAAAGCAAGTGTGTTACTGGCCAGAACACCAGGTAAAAATAATGAAAGAGAAAACTGATTCAACAACATTTAACCAATAGCTGCCCGGCCAATAGCCATTTGGTGGCTGGCAAAATGCTGTAGATTTCCGGGTGGACTCCATATGGCGTTCTCCCAAACATGCTCAGTTTTCACGCTTTCAGAGCCACGCAGCGGCGCGATCTGTCACCGGCCGTGTACCTCGGACATGGCCGATGACAGATCTGAGTACCGGCCCCCGTTGCCGGTACCATGTGGCCTGCTGTGATCAATCACAGCAGGTCACATGACAGTTGTATACAATGGATGGCTTCATTCATGCCATCCATTGTATACTAGTGTCTAGCTGTGAATGGTCACAGCGATCACATGCACATGTCATGTGATTAGCTGTGGCCAAATCACAGCTAAGCGCAAAAAAAAAAAGAAAAAACCCTGAATGAATCGATGTCATTCAGGTAAATGCTTGCTTATGGCAAAGTAATTCTTTGCTATAAGCAAATGTGTGTAAAAAAAAAAAAAAAAAAAAAAAAAAAAAAAAAAAATTGTGAAAATGTTTTTAATTTCTTCATTTTCGAAAAAATTATGACAAAAAATGTATTATACCTTCAAAAAAAACTCACCATGCCTCTTATAAAGTACGTCGGACTGGTGGGGGCGGGGCCTGATCATGGCGGCTGAGGAGAGCCCAATGTAGGAGCTCTCGGGCGAGGCTCCGCTATTCAACCTCCCCAAGTCTCCAGGTTCTCCCCTTAGTATGCAGAAGTCCAGCGGTATAAGACCTACCTTGGGCTGATGGTCCCTCTTGGACGGCTGGCAGAGATCTGCAGGAGGAGTGACCCAGGAGATAGAGAGCGGCTGGGGACCAGCGGCGATAGCGTGCCTTGATGCCGGGAAGTGAGTGAGGACGGCGGGACCACGTGACCGGCCACTAAGCATCACTGGGAGACCAGGAAGCCGGCCGGCGTTCTGCAGTGAGAGCAGCACCGACCTGCTTGCCGGCTCACTCCCCTGCTCCCCCGTTTCCCTGAGGACCTGCATGTCTGTAGCAGAGGAGGAGAAACATCGTGATCTGGAGACAGGAGAGCAGAAGATACCCCGGGGAGCTCCCCCTGATGAACAAACCCCAACAGGAAGGAACAGAACAGGAGAGAGCCTCTAGCCGTGTCAGAAGAAGAGATCTGTGGAGAGGGTGAGTGACTATGGCTGAGGCCTGATCTATATCAATGCGTTGTTCTGTATCGATCCTAGGGCGAAGTAGGGTGTGAGTAAGGGGGGACCCCCGGGGATTGTAAAAACTGTGTGGAAAGGAGAAGAGGACTGCTTAAAGAAGGGACTAAAAATACCAGCAAGTGGAAGGGCTGAGTCTTGTATATCAATAGTTGTCTTCTCTTCCTATTCCCGGACTTATAAAGGAGGATAAGAGCTACAGGGAAATGAAAAATAAAAACGTAAAAGGAAGCGGGCTTAAAGGGTCCCAGACTGGTACAATAAAGAAATATACCTCCCAGGGAAATGTAACCCCAGAAAGGTCCCAGGGTAGGACTGAAAAAGGAGAAGCAGATCTTAGCCTGGAAAGTACTCCTAGACTATCACTAGGCCTTGACATCAGCAACCAACAAATAACAGGTAATATAGAGATGGAAAAAGAACTAAAAATACCAAATAAAAAAGATGGCAGAAATGTTTAAAGAACTAAAACAAGAAATGGTAAATATTCGAAGTGACCTAGGACATCTTTTGGTGAGAGTGGAAGAAACGGAAGAAAAAGGTTAAAAACCAGATCCAGGCTATTTCTGAACTAGAAAAAGATAATTAATATAGGGAAAGTCCAAGAAAAATTGCTCTATAAGGCTGAGATACAAGAAAATAGAGACAGGAGGAGAAACATTAGGATACGAGGTGTCCCAGAGAAATTAAAAGGAGAAACTCTGCAAGAGGTGATTTGTAAAATATTAAACTCTATAATGGATAGTACTGATATGGAAAGGACTAAAATAGAAGGAATTTTTAGAAAAGGAAAACTCCAAGGATATCTGGGGAAAGAGAGGCAGAGAGATGTACTTGTTAAATTCTAAGAGTTTCAAGATAAAGAAAAAATCTGGAAGAAGATTAAGGGAAAATCAGTAATTAAATATGAAGGAAAAGATATACAGATATATGCGGATCTGTCCCCAGAGACTCTGGAGAAGGAGAACCTTGAGACCTATGTTGGAAAGCTTGAAAGAACAGAATGTGCAATATAGATGGGGGATTCCCGAATGCCTAATAGGATGGAAAAATGGAGTTACAGCATATCTCAGGTTCCCAGAAGAATTGAAAAATTTTTGTGATAGACTCAAAATACAAAGAATGGAGATCCCTGGCTGGGAAGAAGAACATTGGGAAATTAGAACGAAAAGAAAAGGGGACTGGCAACTTGTAGGGGGGAGGAGAGGAAAAAAAAAAAACACAAAACTAAAACTTGTTTTTTTTTTTCTTTTTCTCTCTCCTCTCTCTGTCTTCACCCTACCGCCCTCACCTCACTGTATTTTGAGATATTTTGGGTAGGACTTGGGGGGAAATGATGAGGTTGGAGAGGGGGAAAGTCGTCCATGGTCGGAGTGTTCAACCCCAAGGATTAAATCAAAAGTGGATTCTTTTTTTCACAAATGATTGGTAGGCAAATGGTAGGCCTAAAAAGAGGGAGGGGGGAGGGTATTTTCCTGCAAGATAAAAGAAGATATAAAAGCAAGTGAGAGGGGAGAAGTAGGAGGGAAGGAGGGGAAGGGAAGAGAAAGGGAAAAAATAAAGAGAGAAAAAATATAGATGGAGGAGAAAAGAGAAGATCTAAGGAAGATGGAAGAGATTCAGTTTATAACATATAATGTAAATGGGCTGAACTGTCCTGGGAAAAGATTTAGATTTAAAGAACTACACCATAGGGCAGCCTCAGTGATATTCTTACAGGAGACACATTTTGAGATAAAATCAAATGTTAAGTTAAACTCTAGATATCACCCAACATGGTATTATGCAGACTCACCGGTTAAAAGGGCAAAAGGTGTAGCAATAGGGTTGGCAAAGAATATTAGGTTTGAGTTGGAAGATAGAAAAACAGACCCAGAAGATTCTTGTTTTTAAAGGGAAAGTTACAGGAGATTGAGTGTACATTGGCCAATATTTACTGCCCTAATATAAGGCCAGAGGTGTATTTGAAAAAAGTGTTCAGGAAGCTGATGGACTTTAAAAAAGGCCGTCTGATTCTGGCAGGAGATTTCAACTTTTGTATGGAACCACAAAAAGACGCTACTTCCCATACACAGAGAGAGGGATGTAGGGCCCTGAAATTGAAAAAAGAATTACACATAAGCCAACTAGTAGATGCCTGGAGAATCACGCATATGCAAGATAGGGACTATACCTTTTTCTCAAACATGCATAAGAGATACTCAAG